CCAAACATCTTTTAACTGTCGACCGACCAGTCTATCTAGAAAAATTTGACACAAACTAGGCTCTTACACCACTAAATGTAACCCCCTCAGACCGATGCGGGTGACCCGATCCGATCTGGGGTGTCATATTAGGGCCACTGGAGAAACCCACCATAAAAATATCGTAAAAATTAATTTTTGTTAAAATGCTTAAAATCATAAAACAATTTATAAATAAAAAAGTAAAATTTATCAATATTCAGAAATAAAACAGGCATCTAACTCGGATATAAAAACAAAAATACAAGCTACATACCTCCTAATCACATGCACCGTACTCCGCAAGCAACGCCGATGAAACTCCCCTACTGACGTCGATAGTTGCACTAATTCAATTCTCTTAACCTGAAAAAGGTAAGTAACAGAGTGAGCTTTGGAAAGCTCAATAATACAAAACTACCAGATGATGTTGAAGAACATGCATATAACATATAAACATATGTTTCCTTATTAGTTCAGACATCTACAGACTTTTAGGCTGAGCTGAGGTCCCACTGATATCTTAGGTAGTAAGAGACAGTAAGATTTCAGTTCAGAGGGAAATATTTCAGATGTATGGGTTCAGGAGATCATAATAGGTTGTCTAGTGTGTTTTCACAAAACTAGTGAAAATGTACAGAGAATTTTTTTAAAACAGTAGCAATTTAAAACGTATTTTTTCAAAAATCATATTAATCCCTCCAACTGAACGCCATATGCAGTTCCCCAGAACTGCATAACCTAAAGGAGCACCTTGGGGCTTGAGAGCCTACCTGAGAATGATTCTCAGGGCCATGGGGCCTACCCAAGAAAGGTCTCAGGGTCACAAAGCCTACACAAGGGTTGCCTTACGTCATAAGGAATTACCAGTCGGTGCTCAACCTATTCAAGGAATTACCAACAACAACTGAACCTGCCAGAGATAGGAATTACCAATCGGTGTTGAACCTATACAAGGAATTACCAGCAGCTATTGAACATGCCAGAGTCTTCAGTTATAACAGAGTCTCAGAGTACCCCGTATAAAAATAATTTCAGTCAGTAAACAGAGATATCATAAATCAGAGTAGAGATCATAACAAAAATAAGATAAAACATAAATGTGATCAGGGAAACACACTAAAGGTTCCAAATATTATTCGGAGGTACTGGAAAATCTTATCGGCATGGAAACACGGATCTTCAGTATACCAATATAATGCCAGAAATTAAAATCACTATCAAAGAGTCCATTAGTTAACGGAATCATCAGTTATTCAGAACATGATTTATCAGGATCATAAAGTATTCAAATATTTTTCAGAGGCAATTTGTAATCAGAAAGGTATTAAGAATCCTAAGAAATAGAGTTACTTGTGTTTTCAGATATAACAAGAGTGATTCCATTATTCAAGAAATCAGAGACATTTTGGGCATTAGGTTCTTTGAGAATTCTTAGTGATTTGAGCTGATAAGGGAGAAACGAAGATTCATGGAATTTACGATTTGTGTCGGATTATCAAGTTAACTTGAACTGAACAATCATAGCACTGATACATGTCAACCGATCAAATCGTCGCACTTTAAGGGTATTCACTCTTTAATATAGACAATTCTTATCGAATTGATCATCTTCACAATCATCGCCGAATGGATCTTAAGGAGACGAACATATATTCAGTCATTTCATGACTTGGGGTTACCTTAGGTCATTTACTCTCCAAGGGCATTTTGGTCATTTTATAGTTCAAGGGTATTAAATTATTTTCTTCGATTCAAACATATGCACCATTCTAGCAATTTATTTATCTTCTTTGATTCAAACATATACACTATTATAGCAATTTATTTATCATGTGGTTTTGTCTAAAAATCACAATTTCTTAATCTTTCGCCATCTTGGGCTTAAAAATCGGTTATCCATATTTTATAAGCAAAACTAGTATTTTCAATGCACATAAGTAGTTTCATCAGATCAATATGTCTTTTCAGAGTTATTTTCCAACTTACAAGGACAATTCTTGTCTTTTTACAACATAAGAGTATTTTCATAATTTTACCCCATAAGGGTATTTTTGTAATTTTACCTAACCAAAGAATTGTCATATTTTCTCATCCAAGTACCTTTTGCATTTAACTTTTAATGAGATAAATTAGAATTTACAGATCCATGGATTGATTACTTTACCACTTAATCACAAAACTTGTAATTTAATTCTAACGGTCCCACAATTTCTTATACGAGTCATCTGAGCCATATTCAGTTACCGAATTTTTACCGTATTCGGATTAAGTTTAGAAATAATTTACTATACAGATGAGACCAAACATATTCATCTATGTATTTACCAATTCCAACATGTTCTATAAAACATACATAAGGTAGCAATGTATTACCTCGGTTTCTATACCATACCGATCAACCATTTAAACTCCATTTGATCGCCCTCAACTTGAATTTAACGTCCATTAATTCCTTAGATACACAACAACAAAAATTTCATCAGAAACAGAGCTTAATTGTTAAAAACGGATCGTATCAGTGGTTAATAAGTGAAAACAGCTTACTGGGTTTGAATTTAGTGAAACGGACCTCAAAAACGGACTTATGACGTCGAAAAACATTAGAATAGGTGTACACGGAAAAAGTCAAGGGCCAGTCAATTGCAGTTAACGGCATTCATCGGTCAACGCCTGGTCAATGGTCAACGACTTAGGCAACGGCTCACCCAGGCGGCTCGGCTCTGGCGGCTCGGTCCAGCTGGTCCATACCGGTTCAGCCGGTCAACACACTCCCAGGCTGATAGACGACGCCCATGTGCAAGGAGAGGCGTGTGCGGCAGTTATTATCGTCCGACGGCGACGAAAATTTCCAGATTGCTAGATCTTTGGCCTGGGAGTTGTTGGCAAGTGTTATTTTTCAAAAAAACATAACAGATTGCAGAATTTTAAAACGTACGAACCTCTCCAACGGTGGCTGGCGAGTGACAACGACGAAGTAATGACGGCTCGACGATTTCAGTCGGGTTTTGAGTGGATGGTGACAGTGAGTCCAATGGTGTAGGCGGTGAGGTGAACGGACGGGCTGATCGACTGGAATCGACGAAAAACATGCGGTGGTTAGGTTAAAATTGATGAAGCTTCACGATGAGTTTTACTGTGAACGGCGCCGATGCACGACGAGATAGGGGTCGGGTTTTGTTCACCATTCGACGGTGAGTCTAATCGTGGTGTCAGAGCGACGAACGGTGGTCGGATGACGATGGATTGAGGCGGTAAAGGTGGTCGATAGAGATAATTAATTTAAGATTTAGGGATTCAGGGATTAATTGGAAGGAAAATCAGATTGCTCGGGGAGGGGTTAAATTTTTCACTGGGCAATAAAAATAGGTAACTTCAGGTTCAAGTCCCTTGATTTTCCTGTAACTTCCTAAAACAGCCTATAAATCCTGAAATCTTGCATTTTTGTCCCCAATTTCCTCTTGTTAATACCTTAATTGATACTTTAAAATTAATAAATTTTTGCCCATAAATTAGGGTGTGACATCAACCCTATGTTCCGCTGAGTTGATTTCAATAACGTAGGCAAGACGTGGACAAATTCACGCCCCTTTTCCCATCATCATTATTATTACAAGTCTAGAGTTTAGTCCTAAATTCCAAAGGATTACGCGTAATTGGCTAAGTTTGAAGATTCCAACTCTTCAATTGTCTCTGACTTCCTTTTTTTTTTTTAGTTTTCCTTTTCCAATTTTCTGCTCAGCTGCTAAATCAAATCAGTAAAACTTAAACAAACATAGTAAGAAGGGGCTCATTTTTTTTTTGTTTAGGTTATTGTCATTAACGAATGAAATAGATCTATACTATAATAAATCGTTTTTATTAAATTTCATTAAAAAATAGTAATTAATATTTTATGTCATTGGCTGAGGTAAAATTATAGGATAAAAAATTAAAAAAATCTTTTAACCCATCATAAACGGCGTTTATAATAATAATAATAATAATAATAATAATATAATCAGTTTTAAGTAAAACCTTGTATTTTGAATTTTTCTTTCATTTATTGTCTGTGTAATCATCTATAGATTAAATCAACTTTTTCTTCTTTGATTTTCTTTAGCAGACGGCGGCATTGATTTTGATGTTGGTTGCCGACCGTCGATTGTCTTTTATCTTTGTATTTTTTAATAAGAATAATTATGTTTTTGTGATATGTTTATCTCTTGCTTTGTGGAACGTTTATCTCTATTTTTGTGACATGTTTTTCTCTACCTTTTGGTAGTTTTTGGTCATTTGACTGTTGCTTTCGTTTGTATTTTTTCTAAGGGTTGGATTTGACAACGTCACAATTGATCGATATGACGTTTATTTGTTATCATACTGATCTTCCCTGCTTTGGACCTCGGATTGTTTTGGATACGCGTTTTGCGTTCATGGATAGTTTTCTCACGTTGCTCGACTCTGATTTGCAATTCGTCGATAGTCTTTTAGTAGCTTCATCTCATTTTGTGGTTCATTTACCGATGCAGTCAAATTTGTTCGTATATTTATTTTGTTCGAGCTTTTTGATTAGGTTTTTTAACTTTTTATTTTTTGGGCTTTGTGTGATCTAGGTGATTAGTTTTTGTGTCAATGTTTATAGGAAAACATCCTAATTATATGTTAGTTTACGGTTATGCTTATAAATCTTCATTATAATTCTAGATATTTTTTATTTTTAATAAAAATAGGAAAAACTTGTATTTTGATGGTTGAGATTTATGGTGGAGGTGAAAGGGTACAGTCGGACTTGTTTTATTTGAACCAAATTTTCTGACCAAAGACCGGTCGTAATGAGGAAAATTCACACTTATTTTTTTCTCGGTCCATCTTTGATTCATCGTTCGAATCTGTCTATTCCCCTCATACCCCAAACCCCATATTATATTTATAGAAAGGCTTTCCATGCACAAAACAACTCACCAAACCCTTACATCATAATTGTGTTGAGTGAAGTGATTGATAGCTTTGAGAAAGAGTTAATTTTGACTGTGTCCTGAATGGAGAAGATGGGAGAATGGAAGCAAATGAGTCTGATAAATGAGCTAACCCAAGGAAGGGAACTAGCTAGGCAACTCCAAGCCTATCTCAACGCGCCTTCTTCTTCTTCTTCTTCTCACGAAACTCGTGAATTAATAGTATTAAGGATCCAAGCCTCGTACGAGAAGGCACTTTCGATGCTGAACTGCAATACATCTTTGTTAACTGATCAGCCACAGTCGTCGGAACTAGTTATCGGATTATCGGAGTCACCGCTTTCTCATAGTGTAAGTCCCCGGAGTGAGGACTCCGACCATGATTTCATGGATCAGGACAAGAAAAGGTACACACAACTCAACTCTTTAACCAAGCTTAATTTGTCCTAGTTATACCTCTGGAGTTGTTATTTGGAGATGCACTCTAACAATATCTCGGTCTAGAATCTATTTAGTCTACTAACCTACTACTACAATAATAAAATTATCATACCCCTTCAAAATTTAAAATTATCATATATTTTAGATTTGATTTATATATATTCGGATGAAATTTTGTTTTCGCCCCCTAAATTTTTTTTATAAGTTCAAGTTTGCTCATAATCACGGTCATGCTATCAGTTCACTGGTTCAACCGGTCGAATCGATCCGACCGGTCGAAAGAACCGGACGACGTCATAATTATTTAAAAAATTAAATAAAAATACCAAAAATATTTAATAAAAAACAATTTTTTATATCACAATTTATATTTAAAACAAGTCATAACATATAAGTTAAAAACTATAAAATCAAATGAAACAAAATGATTCAAATTAACTACAACATAATATTTAAGATAAAACATATTAAATAATAAATATAATTATATAACTATAATTAAAAAATAAATTTGGGGCTAAAAAAATCATAACAAAACGATATTGTTTGGTTTATTTTTTTTAAAAAAACAATCTCACATGGCTAAGAAACATAGAAAATTATCTCAAATAACTTCTATAAATAATAGAGGTAATTTGTCATTCAAAATCATGGAACCTTTTGGTAAGCATTGAGTGAACTATTCTTTCACTTTAATCAAGCTCGAATTTTAGGCTTCAATCGAGCTTCTAAATTTTTTTTGAGTTCAAGCCTTTTCGAGTTCAAGTTTCAATATTATATTTCGAGTTCGAGTTAAACTTCATAATTTTTAGCTCGTGAGTTTGAATCGAGTTGAGCTTACTTTTAAATTTTTCAAGTTCGAGTCGAGCTCAGCAATACTCGAGTTCGACTTAGCTCGTTTAACAAACGACGTCGTTTGGTTTAATTTTAAAAATAAAAAAACAAAATTGACGGGTTTTTCCGATTTTTCTGATTTTTTCCGGTTTTCAGCCGGTCCGGTTTGAACGGTTCAGCGGTTCTGGCCGATTCACTAGTAGCAGTTCAACCGGTCTAGATTGAACCTTGAACCGGACTATGTAACGATTTCCGATTGAACTGACCGATCCAATTTTCAAAACAACGCTCATAACATAAAATCTTATATTCTTCTCTGTTTAATACCACTAACTAAGACCATTATAAATACTCCCATTTATGACTGTGAAAGGGATCATACACTATCACTCAATTCTTGTACCTACATTGTAGATCTCGCTTTACCTTTACTCCTCTCCTCAGATAGATCACTATAAGCTAACGGTTGATATTTCAACGATCTTGATTCTCCGTTTAAATTAAAATTAAACATAATGAAACCGTTGATGAAAAATTTGCTCTCATCAATAATTGGTACAACAAACATAAATGACTCTATCAGAAAAGAATCAATCGCGATAACAAAATTGTTCCCATCAATTATTAACCATGTTTTATGATGCAGAATAACTTTGCCGAGATGGGCGCAAAAAGTCCTAGTGACACCCGGTGCAGCCCTGGAGGGACCTCTTGATGATGGCTTCAGTTGGAGGAAATATGGACAAAAGGACATTCTGGGAGCACAATATCCAAGGTTTGCAGATCCTCCCAACCTCAATATAGCCACCATTAATTAACCATAACATCTCATTAAAGTTAATATCTTTGATTACAGAGGCTACTACAGGTGCATACATCGAAATGTACAAGGTTGTTTGGCAAGAAAACAAGTACAAAGATCAGATGAAGACCCAACAATCTTTGAGATCACTTATCGAGGAACACACACTTGCAATCTAGCATCCCAGGTCAAGCTTCCCTTAGGAATCTCAGAAAATCAAGAACGAGGAACTAGCAACCAACAAAGGCTGTCTTCATCAATGGCGGCTCCCAATATAAAGGTTGAAGACAATCTTGTCTTTTCACCTCCTGTGATGGGTAACAGTAACTTTGCTGAAAATGTTTCATCTTCTTTTATATCTCCTGCTGCAACATCCGTGATGAGCGCTGATCGTTTGTTGGACAACGTTGATATTCTAAATTCTGAGCCTCAGCAGCTCACCGGCGTTTACCTAGCTGCCGCTTCATCAACGGATTCTCTCACTGTTGGCTTAGACTTCCCATTTGGTAGTGACGATCAATTCCTCCCGAACTTCACATTTGACAACAATGGTTATTTTTCCTGATCAAACCAAAATAACCATAATTTTCTGATTTCACTCCTCAAATAATTTTAACTCAACTCTTTAAGAAAAAAGAATGGGATTTATATTCCTGTCTGATTGATGATGCCTTATTGCAAATGTAGACTGTATTTTTTATTCGACCATGTGTAACTTTTTCTCCGGTTTGTAAGGATGATTCCATCGAAGGTCTCCAAATTATGGGTTAGATTTTAAATTGGTCAGTCAACTTTACAACATTTCAATTCAATCAGCCTAGTAGTCAATTTTGGTGTTAAATTAAGGGCAAACTACACAAATGGAGTAAGTTTTTGTTTTCCGCAATAAAGTTTCAAAAGTAATAACTTGGTCACTAATGTTAAAATTAATTTGTAACAAAATAATCACTCATAAATTATTGCTAAAACATCAAATAGGTCCTTGAATAATGATATTATTTTTAAATTTATCTCCATTTTAGAGATTTTGATAGTCGTATATGAAGACCATAAATTACGTTTGGCTCAAACCTGGGTTCCTTGCCGCATCGCAGTGTTCTGTATAAGCTTCGATGGTAGCTGCATGGGACAAGTCCGTATGTCAACAACTGATTTGGCATTCTATATTGTAGATGCTCACACTGTCACGCATGGGATCTCCGGGTGGTTTGTCATGAGAATCACCTACGGCTACAAAAGGGCCAGGGAGTAGCCGATCGGGCATTTTTATCCCACAACTCGTGCTTTTGTGCCGACATTACCCAATTTTGCAAAACTGAGTGTCCGTTCCCCTTAGTATGGTCGGACATTTGGATTAGGTTGCTGTTTTGCAATCGATCTGTTTACGGAGTAATGTCGATTGAAAATTGATATACAATTTTTTTGGCCCTCCTCCATTGTTGACAGCAATTAGCAACATACTTTGCTGGGTTCAATATTGACAACAATGGCCAACATACTCGTTCGGAAGGTGGAAAATACTCGGGCTTTCTTAATCTTATGAATATTGATTATACCACAGATCAAGTTGCTTAATATTTCTTTTTACTGAGAGCTTCAGTGGAGATCCGGAGGATATGGATATCATCTTTGCTTCTGAATATTTTCAGATCAATTCATTGATTAATGATTACTCCATGACCAATTGAATAAAAAAAACATAGCATCTTTTAGTGATTACTCCTTAATTTCAAGTTAAATGAAGTAAAACCTTAGACCAGGTTTGAGCCAAAGGTAATTTATGTTCTTTACATACGATTGGTAAAATCTCTAAAATAGGGATTAAATTAGAAATAAAGCCATTATTTAAAGACCTATTTTATGTTTTAGCAATAATTTGGGGATAAAACTAAGTATTAATCTTTTTGATAACATTTGCACGTTATCAATTTAACGAGGTGATGGTGGAGTGGTCATTTTGTTATAAATCAATAATATTAGTGACCGATTTGTTACTTTTGAAACTTCAATGGGAAAAACAAAAATTTGTTCAAACATTAATGACCATCTGTGTAGTTTACCATTGAATTAAAAATATTTTAATCAAATAAGTATAAATAAATCATTTCTAATCAACTATAAATATGAAAAAGAACTTCTATTATAACACAAATTATTTTTTACTTTTATAAAAAATAATGAAAAAATATAAAGAATAAATTTATCCCAAAATTTACAAACCAATTTAAATTTTAACTTAATCTAAAGTATTCTAATGAAATTAAGCCTTCAAATTTAATATTATTTGACAGGTCCTGACCGTTCTTTTTAATCTATTCTTTAAATAAGTACTTGTTATTTTCTTTTTATCTTTCGTGAGTAGGCGACGATATCAATCATAGTATTAATTGTACCTTTCGATATTCTTTTGTTTTCTCTTTATTTTTTTATTTTGCATCTTTATTCTTTTATTGTTTTCAATAACTCTGTTTTTATGAAATATTTTTACTTTTCTTTTTACTCGTTTAGTTATTCTTATCATTTATTTGTCTTAAGATTGAATTTGATGTCACCATGATTGATCAAGATGATATTTATTTGTTATCTCGCTAATTTTTCCTGTTTTGGATACTCGAATTGGATTTGATGTCACCATGATTGATCAAGATGATATTTATTTGTTATCCCGCTAATTTTTCCTATTTTGGACACTCGAATTGGATTTGGATACGCATTTTGTCTTCGTAGATAGTTTTCTCATGATGTTTGACTTTGATTTGTGTTTGTTGGTATTCTTTCAATAGATAAAATTTTTGTTGTAATTTGTTTGTCATATCAATCACATATGTTCGTATTTATTTATTATTCGAGTATGTTTGATAAGTTTTTCACTTTTTCTTTATATGGTTCATACATATCTTAAGCAATTAATATTTTTATGTTAATAATTATAAAAATATTCTAATTATAGTTTTAAATATTCTTTTCATTATTCTAATTATAAGTTTGACATTTCACTGTTAAATAGTCAACGACGTTAAAAACGACACCGTTTTAAAAACGATGTCGTTTTGCATCTATATATCAACTCATTTTAACGTCGTTAACTATTTAACGGATGAGTGGCCAAAAAATTCAATGTATTAAGTTTAGCGAGAAAATGAAAAAAATTAAAATAAAATAAATAAAATAAGAGAGATAATAAAATTCAGTAACTAAATTTATAATTTACTCAGGTTGTAACAATATCTCAAACTCGAAAAGAAAAAAATAAGATAGGAGCCCTTTAGCTTCGACATTATTAACCTATAGTTAAGCTCTATAAATTGGTGGCAAACTTTTGTACATAATGTTGTTGGAAAAATATTTGCTCATATAATAGTTGGAAAAATTATATTTTTATTTAGGATTATTGTTATAGTATATGATGGAAGAGGTCTAAATTATAAGACAAATTTTAAAAAATATCAGGATTATTGAACTATATTGTTGTTAAGTTTTGAGCATGCATACATCTTAAGAGAAGACGCAAAGTCTTCCATACGTCTTCATGAAGACGTTGGATAATTCATACGTCTTCACAAAGACGTGAGATGATCTATGTAAAGTATTATAGAAATCTTCTTATTTGAAAAATTAAATTAGAATAATAGTTAAATAAAAAAATTATTTTCTCGAAAACAATAGCTCAATAATTTTAACTTTAGCTATTAAATGAATTGTGTGATACTCATAGGGTGAGCTTTAAAACTACACAAGTTTCCAAACTAACATACCTTAAGTTACAAATTTTATCATTTAAATCCCTTTTAGATGATTTTAAATACTATAAAGTCCTCATATTTAATATTATAAATCATTTAGTCCATAAGTTGATGTTTAATCATTGTTCAGTTTTTTCCAACAATTACATAACACATGGTTAGAACTAAACATATAGATGTGCATTTTCATTTTCTTTGGGAGTTGAGAAAGCGTGAAGCTGGTACATTGTGGTTCATAATATCAATGGGCAAATGTGACGAATAAACATTTGGATTAGTTCTTAAATTATTCTTTCTTATTCTTAACATCATCATCAACAGCTCATACTCTCTTTATTTTTATCATCAAATATATGTGCAGCTCGCAATAAAAGTATATCACTGAAAAGTATCCAAAATGCAACCGAAAATAGTTTTGTTCTCTAGAGTTAAGTATATGAGTGAGTATTTGATCGAGTCAATTAGGAGAAAAATAACTTTGTTGAGTTTACATTTATCATTTTATTTTTCAAATTTTATTTGAAGTTAATAAATTTAAACTTGAATCGAACTCAGATTACTCAAAATTTACAAAATATCTTATTTTTTTAATTTCAATTGAATTTTACTTACACTTAAATGAGAAAAAAAATTAATACAAGAGGCGCAATTAATATATTTTGGACTAGAGAAGATTGTTTTAAGATCTTAAATTTAAACCACTAAAAGGGTAGGTTAGAGGATCTACTAGTTTAAATTGAATTTTATATATTCTAGATGCATAAATTTTGAATGGAATTGTTTTCACAGAAAAATACAGTATTGGAAGTTAATATATATCAAAGGGGAAACAATATACTCATGTAAGATCGAATATAAGATTAATTATATTCAGAAGGCTCAAACGCCTTAAAATATTATATGTTCTTTTGTTTTAAATCTAGATTATGAGATAATGGGTAATTTTCATGTAATTTATTTAATTATATGTTTTTGATATAGTAATTTGAGATGGAATAAGATACAAGATGTTCTTCCTTTTGAAATTTGCGAGCTTAAGAGTCTAACACATTTGTAAGCAGCACTTGAAAGTATTTTTTTTCACGTTATGCTAATCAAGATTGTTGCTTCATATTAACCGTATAAAATTGAGTAGGTATCCGAGCTTCAATAACTTTAAAGGGGAGATTCCGAAGGAGCTTGAGAGTTTACCAGAGCTGAAAAAATTACGAACTGCTTTCTAATTGATATATATCAATTTCAAAAATTAATTTAGTATAAACCTTAATAATAAATTTTTATTATTAAAGTTTATATTGTTAAAACTTTCAACATAAACATCTTATATTATTGATTTAGTATTTAAATATATTAACATATAGAAAATATCTAATCTTAATTAATATAAACCTTAATAATAAATATTAACCTAATGTAACAATAGTATATAAGTAGATTCATTAGATATAGAGATAAAAAAAATTAAGGAATACACATTTTATCTTTTATCACACATTGTAAAGAAACATAACCTAAAAACTCTAATATGCCTATATAAATTAACCCCATTAAACTCTTCAACTCATGGAACTAATATATATCAAATTATGATGTTAGTCCTTATAATTTTATTTTTCAATTTTTTAAAATATATCTTTTAAAATGTTTTTAGGAAATTGATTTTGGAAGGCACACCCCTTGAAATACACATTCTCACGTGATGCCATGTTAACATTTCTCCTAGAAGGCGTGCTTCAAAGAATGCACATTCGGTCTATCAATAAAGGTGTTAGGTCGATAAGATTTGAAGAAATGATTATTAATAAGTAATATTATAATATTT